TTATAACATATGGCGCCGTTGACCAGCCACATTGCTGTGGTACTTGTTTATCAAATTTTTTGTTTTCTAAAAATGATTTAACCCCTGACAGACAGACAGCATGCACAACGAGTATGCATGCTGTTAATAAGGGAGTTAATGAGAACTTGTGGAAGACTCTCCCATTCTTCCACCAGAGCAATTTGTAACTCCAGAATGGCTCTGGGGGGAGGTTGGCGCATCGCAATAGCTCTCCCAAGAGCATACCAAGCATGTTCAATAGGATTCAGGTCAGGGGATTTAGCTGGCCAATCCATTCGTTAAATATCCTCGCTTTCCAGATACTCATCAACCATGAGAGCCCTATGTGGTCGCGCATTGCCGTCCATAAAAATGAACTCAGGGCCAACAGTGCCCCTGAAAAGACGCACATAAGGCTCTAGAACCTCCTGCCTGTACCTCTGGGCATTCACAGAACCATTGTCAAACGCATGGAGCGGTGTGCGGGTATCTTGCATGTGCGAATGAATGTGCGAAAATGCTTGCCATCTCTTAATTTTGTCCACCAGTGTATTTTACTAACAATATTTTGATGCTTGTACAATTCCAATTTAATTAAGTCTAAGTTATCATTATCTTGCAAATTGAATAAAACTTACATTTGAACCACCAACAATTGCATTTCCAAGACTCAATTTCCTTTTCATTCCACCTGAGAGATTTTTTACCAACTCATATCTTTTATCGGTAAACTTCAAAATTTCCAAGACTTTAAGAGCTTCAGACGCAAGATTTCTCCATGGCACCCCTTTTAACTAGACAAATAGATTGGAATAGCTTTAATTTTCATTAAAAAAAACAAGTAAAAATGTAACTAAATTCGTTCAAATAACAATAAATGTTTTTTCACATAAAATTTAATTATGTAATTTGCATCTTTCGAAAATACTACAATTTTCAAGATACGAATGAAATTAATTGCTTATCTAGCCGAAATTTCTTAATTTTAATGATTATTCTCAGATAAGTTGTTAAAACTAATAAGTTTAGCAGCTTTTTAAATAATTGAATTAATTTTGACTACACTTGTCTGAAATATAAAATTTTCTTTTCCTTATTACCACCTATATTTTTAGAAAATAAGTCTAGTTGAGTTTTATAAGCTAACATTTTTCTCATGAATCTCCAAAAAGCTACGAGAGAACACTTAAAATAGATTTGGTGTGGAATAATTGCTCTCATAATTGTAAACAATATAAGCTACGCATCTACGTAGCATCTAAGAATATGTTATAACGTCTACATAAAGTTAAAAATTTCAAGAAATATCACAACTTGATTTTTAATTGTTGTCCATGAAAATTGCACATATCATACCTTAACTACACTGTATCTAAGCATATGATACGAAAATAAAAAGAAATTATTTCACGCTTATAAACAATTCGATGATACAGAAACTAGTTTGAGAAAACCACCGGTACCAATATACATGTTGGGCTCTGCGAAAATAAGGCTACTAGAGTTTTTATGAAATTTTAAAAATAAACATTTAAAGTATTATAAAATAAAATAAAAATGTTTCTCAAATCAATTATTTATAGCTGACGAGAGTAAAAGAGGGTGACGAAAATCCATACAAGTCCCCAAAAACTTGTGATTTCAAACCAGCAGTTGGATTGGATGTGCAAAACCGTAAAACTTACGAAGTAAATCCGTAACCAAAAAGATTTCTTACTCATACATGAAAAAAAATTTCCTGCAAAACTTACAAAATAAGTCAATAGTAACAATGCTTTTAACAATACAAAAACAAGTTTCCTTCGCAAAAAGTACAAATAAAATTAGTAGTCTCAACGGATTTTTACCATACAAGTTTGCTCTGTCAAAGTTATGAAATAAATCTGAATTCGCCTTAGATACGGATATTTTATGTCTCAGCATTGTGGTCTGAGTGAGTCGGGAGCAGAATTCGTATGTCCTGTCAAAACTAGGATTCGAACTAGGAGTTTGTTCCATCCCCTTAGTCGAGCAGCTTGATTGCTTTTTTATGAAGAAAAATTTATCTTTAACGCCTTAATTATTGAAATCATATTCAAATGTAAAACGTTTTCAATATATCTAAAGAAACTATAATCAATATATCTGTAATAAGGTCCTAATACCAATTTGACAATGAAATCGGATTGCAGTTATCGAATTATTTGATTGATTTATTTGCAGGTTCAAAACCATGAAAGAATGTCTGAGAAGAGCAAATATAGAACATAATTAAAAAAATATTTGAATAAAGGTAAAGTTATCAGAGGGTAAGCAAAACTGCAGGGTAAAAACAAGAATTAGAACTGGTGGTTTTAATCTGTTAATTATCAAGGAGAAAAATAGAGAAAAACCATTTAGTCAACAAAACAGCTTCAAACTGTCAAACATACAGAGAAAATCCAGAAAAACAGAGATATTTTTAGTGTATTCTACTCATTACAGCAGCTAATTTTATTTATTATTTACTCTATCATATGAATATAAAAGAAGCTTTATATTTACCCCAGCAAATATTTTTAAATGTTCATCTACAGTTAAAGTGTCAAATAAAACATTGTGTTGTGGGCACACACCAAGCCCCCGTCGAGCACCATGAGTATCAGACAAAATATCCACGCCGTTAATTGATGCTGAACCACTAGAAGGGGTATAAAGACCTAAAACAAGAATAAATAGTTAGGATTATCTAATTAAAATCCAAAAATGAACCTGGATACATGATCCATTTGTGAATCCAAATGGGAATTGAGTTTTTATTTATGGCATTAAAAAGTACTAATTAAATACACGAAATGGGATACATGAATTAATTAACACTACATGAATAAATTAACACTAAATGTAAGTACAGTACGAATTAGTACAAAGAAAAACAGTTTTACGAATCATTTAATTTAATAATAAAAAGGGGTAGCGAAAAATACTCAAATCATTCATAGAGATTTAAAATTTGTTGCAAGTTTGACTTCAACTAATATTTTTTTTTACGTATGTAATCTTATGAAAACACAAACTTATGTTATTATTAACAACAAGATACAAACAATAGCAATTTTGAAGAAATATTATTTACACTAAAGCCCCGAATATTCGATTGCCGATCATCAAATCGTACGATTATTCGATACCTCTTTCATTGTATGTCATCCCGATTCACGTTTCATTAATATTAGCTAAAGTTATCCAATTACTGTTTCATCCCAGATTTTGTGCCATAAAAACCCTCATTCAATTCAGTTTAATCCAATTAACAGATACTGTGACGACAATTCCGAAAAAAAATGCATCAATAATTTATTTTCTTTTTTTACACATTATTGTATTTATGATAAAAAATAAAAAAGCAGTGAGGTTTTTCTTAAATCTATTACTGTCGCTGATTGTTTTGAGTAATTTCGATCTTAGTTTAGAATCTCGCTCTTTCAAGAGCGATTTAAAAAGGTCCCCTGATTATTCTGCTTCAATTTTTCGAGTCTTTGGACATCGTATAATTGGGATTCTACTGATATGGTAAAAAGAGGCACGTGTGAAACAAAACATGTTTTACTTACTTTATTAAACAAAAATTGTAAATACGTTGCAACTTTTTTTTATCTATATACTAAACTAAACTCAGTGGCGCGACAGCCCATGAAGGGCCAGGGCCTACTTGCGCCCATCTCTGTTTTCTTAATCTTGGGCTCTGGGGTGCAGGAGCAGATGTTCCGGTCAGGTGGTCCGCCGAAAGCGGAACCCCCAGTGTTTAGTTCCCAAGCATGCTTAGTACTCATTTATCGACCCACTGAAGGGATGAAAGGCTGAGTCAACCTTGCCCGG